ATTGTTGCTGAGGTTCTGCTGATGAAGGTACTGCGTACATAAGGTACTATCAACGAATCAATGAGTTCCGTTGTGATTGATGTAAAGTGACTCGACCCAAATAACCAGGCTGTGAAACGAGCCCAAAATCTGGATGTTTCCACAGAATCGAGGTTCCGGAGTTCAACCTTAAGTTTATTTTGATAACCACACAGTCGCTCGACAGCACGTTTTATATTCAGCGTCAACTGTTTATCCGTACGACTTCTCAGCACCCACAAAAGGTACGCACAAGGCCTTTTGGGGTGCTGAGAAGTCGCACGGATAAACAGTTGACGCTGCATGCTGGAGCTGGCAACATACGACTGTGTGGTTATCAAAATAAACTTAAGGTTGAACTCCGGAACCTCGATTCTGTGGAAACATCCAGATTTTGGGCTCGTTTCACAGCCTGGTTATTTGGGTCGAGTCACTTTACATCCATCACCACGGAACTCTTTGATTTGTTGTTAGTACCTTTTGTACGCAGTACCTTCATCAGCAGAACCTCAGCAACAATGCTCTTATCTGATATCCCGGTCATGGATCTGCCATATGCTGGCCCTGATGCACAGCAGGAATATCACCCGCTTGTTTAATGCATACCTCCTCCAGTGCTCTTGAAGTCCATCCCTTATCTCTTCACCAGAAGGCCGCTCCCGTGCGGCGCCCCCGCAAATGAGATCCGTCGTGTGTCGACATACAAAACGCAGTACTTGTTGACATCAGCTTGCCCTTGCAACTTGGATCCAAGAAACAATCGAAAAAAAAAATAGTGTCCTCCGAGGGGTTTGTCATAGAAGCCAGGTTCGTCATCAACGGGGTATCCGATAAGACAACATAGTCTCTCCCAAATGAATAATTATGGGAAAGGTCACGGAAAAAGGCTCTTTAAATATATCTTATATAATATCACCTTCCAATGCCAGATGTATATAGGAAGGTCTGCATTCCCTTGGAAATGTAAATCATACCCGTCCTCATTTCACATAAAAAAAAAAAAGAGAAAATAGGCCTATCCAACGCGATCCCCAGACATGTGCACAGCTACCTCTTCCCAAGGCCGCGTGTGGTCCTCCCTCTCCCATCTTGCCTAAACCCCTTGAATATAAGGAGGAGGGTCCTTTCAAGTTCCTTTCAGCCAAGCCGCGTCTCCTTATCCTTGACGGGAAACTCCTTTCCTAGAAGCAACACCCATATATGTCAGCAATTGATATATATATATATACATATGATTATGCATAAGCGGCCCATGCCGCACGTACCAGTCTTATTCTTATATTGTTCACGAATAAAGTCCGAGATCTTCTCGTCCTTAGCCTGCTCTATCGCGCTCTCGTTGTCCTGTGGACCTTTGCCCAGGACGTGTTCCTGGACGAAGTCGACCCCTGTTACAAATCACACCCATACATTAGCTAACAATTTGAAACAAACAAAAAGAAAACGACGTGGATCGAGGTGTGGTAGAAGAGAAAGGGGCAAGTAGTTGAGAAGATATGAATGCTCGGCTCAGGAAAGAAGGTGAAGTTAAAAATAACAATAAAAAGGTTGCAAAAAACTGTACTCAACGTACCCTTATCAAGCATATCTTCATTTTTCTCGCTTTCCCTGCCGCCGCCGGCAGCATGGGTGAGCTTGTCGCTAATGCTGGAGAGGAATCCTCCGCTTTCTTTCTTGTGGTCGGTTGAGGACGATTGCTCGTTATGGTGGCCCTGGCTGTTGCCGCTGGTTAATTTGTTGACGAAGTCCATTGTTGATTTATTTATTTATTTACTGGCTTGGGGGATTCTAAGATTCAAAATCGGCGAGAGTATGGATATAGAGCGTGTTGGAAGTCCAGGAAAATGTGGGGTTGATTGAGGCTTATATAGCAGGGAACTTGATCGCGGGGTGAATATCTAGTGGAGGGAAGATGGTGGCGTGGATTCTGCTGTCTACTTTTACAACGAAGCTGACAACTACAAGGGCCTGTCAATATACTATAAAGAACTGGACGGAGGCGAGGCGAAATATCGTTCTTTGATTAATCCAATAAAGATTCTGCAACCTACAGGGAAAAGTTGGCAGAGCGAAACAAACTGGACCGCCGCACTCCATTTGTTTTCCCGTCCAGCTCCAGTCTTCATCCAACTTGAACTGCGGCGCCCCACCACTAGCCACTATCAGAGATCTCCCATCTTCTTAGGGATGGCGGGAGCAGGTAGTCTTGAAGTCCTTGGGGGGGCGGTAATGCCATTTAACCCAATGATGAATAGCACGGCCAAAGTCAGCTAGCCATCGTGTTCGTCTATGGCGCGATGCTATTATTCCCCGCAGTTTAAGCTTGGGAACTTGAAGTCAATTAAAAGGCTCGTTTACTCCGTATTGATTTGGCTGTGTGGTAGTGGCAAAATCGCGGCAGAGGGCCCGGGGGAATGAGCAATATGTAGCCCATTCATACTATCTTTCGTCCGTGGTGTCGAAATGGAGGCGACGAAGCCGTAACGTGCCTACTAGCTTCCAAGGTTGTCTCGAGGATCTATACACTCCAGGGAACCCCTTCCAATAAGGTTTGGCGCTGAAACTCAGTTTGGTTTTTCGTTGAAATGAAGAATTATTAATTGCATGTGTGTGAGGCACTCATTTTAAGATGGCTTACTAATAATAACCTCTGTGGTTTAGGATCGTCCAGTAACAAGTCTCTGTGGCGCAATTGGTTAGCGCGTTCGACTGTTAATCGAGAGGTTGGAAGTTCGAGCCTTCCCAGGGACGAGTAGTGTTTTTTTTTTTTGGTATTCCCTTTTTTTTTGCCCGTTTCTGCAGGAAGGGTTGAAATATATTTGATTGTGGGGTTATAGAACTACACACCATAGATTTCGTCCAAAACGCCTCTGGATGGTTCTAAGATATATCGGTGAGGGACTAGAACCTCCATGACACCGTACTGCTCTTGCTCGTAGTTATGCGATGTCTACGCAGTAAAAAACCGAATGTAAGCAATATATACTCCCTAATCCTCCCTGGGGAGGGCTCGAAACTTCCCACCTCTCGAATAATAGTCGAACGCGCTCACCCAATTGCGCCCAAGAAGACTTGTTATTGGACGCTTAAACACCCAGCGAGGGTGATCAG